TGTTTATACTTATCATTCCGTCCGAATTCATACCACAGCTTTCTAATGCAATCTCTTGATACCAGTCGAACCCACCTCGTCCCCCAATGCAATGCCACTGACTGAAATGTCTTTATGCCGTTCCTAAAGGGGGGATATTGACAATCATGTTCCTATGCACAGTAGAATTGTAAATGGGCTAATTTATCAATGTCGTGCTCATACTGTGTCAGAGCAACATAGGGGGAACTGCTGCTATTTCTTTCCTCATCCTTACTATCGTCATTTTACCTCTACTTCTTTTAAATGTTTGTCGCTCTCTTGTGAGTTGCTATTTCCGGGGTGCCTTGATAGTCGCAGCAGACTTTGTGCTTTTGAGGCTAGAGAGGTGATCAGAGTAAGCCTGATTTCCCGTTTGGACTTCTCTGTTGACATCAACCACTTGGCGCTCATATGACCTTTTGCAGTTGCAAGCGCCGTAAAACCTTACTAAAACTAAGATACCTCCCTTTCTATCGCAAAAATTTCGACAAGATAGTTTATTCTTCGTCAAAACCAAGATACATTTTAAAACGATACCAATAACTCCATATGCCAAAAAATTGACCTACGTCTGATTCCGCCGCATCTTGACATAATTATTTTCAAAAAATCTTTTTCGGACATCCCCAGGAAGGTGTCCGTCATGTCGTGTTTAGTTCCCAGCTCCACTCCGTCCGCGTCTGCAGCATCATGGCGCGCCACCTGGTGGCCAAGGCGGAAATAGAACAGTACATGCGCGAGCTGGCACTTCCACTCACTTGTCTCATCATGCCGGTGTACTACCAAGACCTGTGCCACATTTTCCGGCCGCGCACGACAGATGGCAGAAATTATGACATAGGTCTGTGATTTCCTCCTCCTATTCTTCCGTCAAGCTCATCCTCTTCTCCTCCTCCTCCTCCTCCTCCTCTGCCTCTTTCTCCTCCTCCAATCGCATCTTCCAACCTCCTTCTCCTCTCCTCGCCTTCTTCTCCTCCGCCCCTCGCCTTCTCCTTTTCCCTCCATCTCCTCCTCCTTTCATCTCCTCCTCCTCCTCCCATCTCTTCCTCCTCGTTTCATCTCCTGCTTCTTCCATCTCCCTTCTCCGATCTCCTCCTCCTACACATCCTACACCTATTCCTCTTGCTCCTCTTTCCATATTCTTTTTCTCCCCACCCTCTGCCTCTCTCCTTACCCCCTTCCATAAGTCTCACCATCCTTCTGCTCTCCATCTCATACCTTCCTCCTTCAATCCCTCCACCATCCTCTCCTTCTTATATCCTTCTCTTACTCTACATCTGCGCCCTTCTCATTTTATTCCTCAGCTCCAATCTACTCACCCCTTTCTCTATATCCACCCCTTCCCCCTCTCTCTACACCCCTACAAAAAACAATAACAAAAAAAACAACAACAACAAAAAACCCAACAGCAACAACAACAAACAAAAACGAAAACAAACAAAACAACCCAACCCGAAACGAACTAGGAGGTC